GAATTGCTGAATGTGAAACTGATGATGTGCCCTGTAAACTTTCACTCAATCCACAATAAAAACCTTAAATTAAAAAAAAAAAGCTCATGGAAATTTGTAGTGAAAAGAATGGAATTTTTCCATGAACTTTTCGAAGGCCCCTCGCACTTTCTTACAATCACCATCCAATTTGATAAACACCCAGGCAATGCCTGACCACATAACTACACCTTACCTTTCTGGAATTATGCTCACACTTCCCATGTTTGCCTGTTTTAAGTGGAATCAAGTAAAATTGCCTTCAAGTTAATTCAGACTTACAAGGTCAGCAGATCAACTCCACAGGAGAAAGATGAGGCTTTCTGCTCCCATAAAGACTTACAGCCTCGGTGTGGCTCTGTATTATGAGCACTGGATTGCTAACTGTAAGGCTGGCAATTCAAACCCATCAGCTGCTCCTCAGAAATCCTATCCAGGCTCACTGTAAGTCCGACCTGACTTGACCGCATTAACAGCAATGTGAACTGAAACCAGCTTGAGAGCAACCCAGTGGCAGCAACAACTAACGACACGGTGAAATGAGGCTGTCTGCTCCCATAAAGATTTACAGTCTTGGGAACACTATCTATCTAGGGTCACTCTGCGTCCGACTCCACTCAATGACAGTGGCTAGACTATAAGGTCTAGGAGCACTGGTGTCACAGTGGTTAAAACACCCAGCTGCCTGGGAGGAAAATGTGGCAGTCTGCTTTGGTAAAGATTTATAGCTTCAGAAAACTTCGGAGGCAGTTCTAATCTATCCTACAGTTCCGGAATGGACTCCAGGGCAATGGTTTTGGGGGATAGGATCCGACTCCACTGCATTTAACAACAATAGTGGCTCTGGTAGCGTAGTGGTTACGAATCGTGCTGCTTACCTCAAGGTCGGCAGTTCAAAACCACCAACTGTTACACGGGAGAAAGATGAGGCTTTCTGCTCCGGTAAAGATTTGCAGCCCAGGAAACCCTGTGCAGAGTCACTATGAGTCAGAATTGATTCCACCGTACTTAACAACATAGGATCACTATGAGCCCAATCAAGTTGATGGCAATGGTGTGTGTGTGTGTTTAAATGCATCCTGCACTGTGTCAGGTGCTCTATATAAACAATGGAATCTAGTCAGTGAGACACACAGGACTGGCTGCCTAGTTTGCTGCCCAATGCAAAACAAATAAACTGATCTCTTGTTCTAAATATATTAAGAATTCAAGAGGTAGACACCAAAGCATTACTGAGCATTAGATTGCATGCTTATGAAGACAAACATTAAACACAGAAACCTATAAACCGGTATTTTCTTTTGTTTTTTTTTTTTTTAACAAAAGCTGTGTGTTGTATTGCATTATTAGTTACGAAAGAAAATAACAAAAAACAAAAATGGGCTGCTTTGAAAGTACTAGGAAAAAAATATTTATGTTGGTCAACCAGAACAGGCTTCTTATGAAAGGGGCTCGGCAGAAGATAGAACATCCGGGGGAAACTGAACAGCACACACGAAGGCAGGTAAAGAGGAGAGACGCAAAATAGAAAAGCTAGGTCCCAACTTCGTTGCTCCAGCATTTAAGAAAGAGACTGAAGGGGAGAAAAGCTGAGGGTGTTGTGCGCGAAGATTTCTCTCGCGTTTTCTCCTTAGAGTCGTCGGTAAACTCTATAGATCCATATCGGGTAGGCCATCGTTTGTAACCAAGCCCTTTGGAGTTGTGAAGTGCTGTCGAGTCGGTTCCGACCCATAGCGACCATGTATAGGATTTCCGAGGAGTGGCTGGTGAGCTTGAACCGCCGACCGTGCAGTTCAGACCGGCGCTGCAGTCCAGCACGTTAACCTGCAGCGCCCCACCAAGACTGCTGGGAGAGGCGGGCGGAATAGCAGCTCTGCAATGGCCTCAGGAGCCAGAGGAACAGGCGGGACCGCGCGATTCTGGGTGTGCAAGCCGGCACAGACTAATAAGGACGACCCAACGGTCTGAGTGACAGGAAGGGGAGCGTGTCGCCACCTCACAGAGCCCTGAGCGGGCGGCTTCAGCCCGGGACAACCTCGCGCAGCAAATTCGGAGGCTGCCCCATGCCGCCGGAGCCCGGGAGGCCTGGCCGCGCGCCCTCCTTCCCGCCAGGTCCGAGGGGAGAGCGCAGCACGCACCCGCGCAGTCTCTCTGCAGGAAATGCGGCGCCCGAGCGCTGGAGCGACCAGGCCAAGGCGCCTCCTCCAAACGCTCGCGGCCCCCTACCGCCCCTCACCTTGTCCCATCGCAGCCACCGGGCCGTCTCCTGGTCCAGCCGGCTGTCCCCGCCAAGGCCGCTGCCTCCTGGAGCCGCTGCCGCCGCCGCCGCCATCCCAGCACAGGGAGAGTCGAGAGAAAGAGGAGGTGCGAGCGCCCTTCCGGCCAGGCTGGGCGCGGAGGAGGCGGGGCGGGGAGAGCAGCCCTAAACCGGCAGCCGGTCCCGCAGGAAAAGATAGCCCCGCCCAGCAGGGCTCCCGGCTAAGAGTGTGCCTCCGGGGGTGGGGTGCGGGGGATGGGGGTGGCACCTGGTACATGAAAAAGTCAACTGCTCGTTATTACGTTCCTTCTGCGCCCATGGCCCCTACCAGGTGCGTAGAGTAACGTCAGATCATTCTAACAATTATGTAGCAATTTAGAGGATAAGAATAGCTCAGAAAATTTTGAAAAAGAACCACGTGGAGGATTAAGATCTGTGGAACCCATGTGTATGAAAAGGTTATTTCAAAGGGGAAAGGACTCCCTCCCCCACCGCCCTTCTTTTAATTGAGAATTGATGAATGAACACATCATCAGTTTGACATTTAACAATTCATCCACATCTTGTTTCATCTCATTGACTGCAGTGTACTCCACGTGACATCACTGATCCTACTTCCTCCCTGCCTTCCCTGTTTCCATTTCTCCTTTCCTCACCCTTCTGAACTTTATACTTGGGTAAATACAGTCCTTTGGATCGCAAATGGTTGATTATTCTAAGGTGTACATATTTGTCTAGTGTTAGCGTTACTATTATAGACCTTAAAAGATATGAATGGCATTGGGTCAGTTGGATACAGTATTCATTTGTTGTTGTTGTTAAGTGCTGTTGAGTTGGTTCCGACCCATAGTGATCCTGTATAGGATTACCGAGGACCAGTTTGTGAGCTTGAACTGCCGGCCTTGCAGTTCAAACGGCTTTGCAGTTTGGCGCATTAACCCACAGTGCCACACCACAGTATTCATGGGGGGGGGGGGGGGGAAGGGAGGAGGAAAGAAACTTGATCCTGTGCTTCACACCACACACAAATATGAATTCCAGTTTAATTGTAAATCACTAGCACATGAGTCCACCATTCGTCCTACTTTGGTAGCTTGCATTTTGCAGTGATGCTGCAAGCTATGCCACCAGTATTTTAAGTACCAGTAGGTTACACTCATGGTGGTCTGGTTTCAGTTGAACTAGGAAGAAGAAGCGGACTACTTTGAACGTTTAGCCACTGAAAATCTTATGAATAGCAGTGGAACACTGTCAGATAGCACCAGAATATTCAGTATTGAAACATTCTGAATAGCACCAGAATAGTGGCAGATACACTGCTGGAAGATGAGCCCCTGGGGTTGAAAGACACTCAAAATGCTACTGGGGAAGAGCTGCCTCCTCAAAGTAGAGTTTAAGTGATGACTTGAATAGACTAAAGCTTTCTGGACCTTCGTTTGCTGATGGGGCACAACTCAAAGAGAAACAGCTGTAAACATCCATTAATAATTGGAACATGGAATGTATAAAGTATGAATCTAGGGAAAATGGAAGTGGTCAAAATGAAGTGGAATGCATGAAGATCCATATCCTAGGCATTAGTGAGCTGAAATAGACTGATATTAGCCATTTAGAGTCTGACAATCATATAGCTTATTATGCCGGGAATGACACATTGAAGAGGAATGGTGTCTCATTCATCATCAAGAACATTTCAAGATCTATCTTAAAGTATAATGCTGTCTGTGATAGGGTAATAGCCATATACCTACAACTAAGACCAGTTAATACCACTGTTTTTCAAATTTATTCACCAATGACTAAAGGCAGTAATGATGAAATTGAAGAATTCTACCAATCAAGATGTATTCATAACTATTGGTGATTGGAATGCAAAGGTTGGAAACAATAAGGATCAATAGTTGGAAAATAGGAGCTCTAGTAGCATAGTGGTTACAAGTCGGACTGCTAACCTCAAGGCCAGCCACGGGAGAAAAATGAGGCTTTTTACTCCTGTGAAGATAATATAGCCTCAGAAACCTTATTCCAGGTCACTGTGAGTCGGTACTATTTCCATGGCACACCACCATCACCAGTTAGAAAATATGGTCTTGGTGATAGAAACGATGCTGGAGGTGACAAGATAGAATTTTGTGGGAGTCCGGCTGGCAACATGGCACCGTCTGCATTTCTGTACCCCTTCTCTCGGCTGCTGACCCAGGTCCAGCTACCCAGCGGCCTTTCAGCAAGGTCAAAGTTCTGTATTTAGTAGCCGCCAAACAGCAAACCTGATTGGCTGAAAGTTGGACTGACCTTGGGCAGCACAGTCTTCCTGTGGACCTATCTCATTAAACAACATAATGAAGATGTTTTATAATATAAAAGAAGAAATAGATTGGAATAAACTATTGAAATATTATTATAGTACACTCCATACAATGATTACAGCAGTTCTTATGGATTCACCAATTTTTTTTATAGTAAATGAAAGCAGAGTAAGTTGTAAGTGGATATATATTGTCAACATTTGTGTTGCATCATTAAGTGGAAAAAAAAGACTTCTGTATTCTTTAGGTATTACATATTGTGATAACTTGTAGAAAATTAGGTATCGTATTAGGAGTATTTCCATATGAAAGATATGTAGTGCTAAATGTGCAAGTTGAAAAATTTTAATCAATAAAATGCAATATGAATTCCCAAAACAAAGATAGAATTTTTGTGAGACCAGTGACTGCTTCATTGCAAATAACTTACTTTTTTTTTTAACTTTTCATTGTGAATTGAGTGAAGGTTTACAGAACAGATCAGCAGTTTTACATACAATAAATCATATACTTTGCTTCATTACAATGATTGCAATCCCCTCCACGTACCTCCATTCACCTTACTGCATTCTTCCTGTGTCTCCTGCTTCTTTTAGCTTTCCTCAGCTAAGCTCCCTCTTGTTGCATATTGTCTGCCCGGTCACTTGTGTTAATATGTGTCTACCCTCTAGCCCATAATTTTCCCATACCCCACCCCCAACCATCATAGATTGTTTCTTTTTATCAAGAAAACCATTTTTTAACTTTTTACAATAATGGTCTCACACAATGTTTGCCCTTTTTTGAGGGATTCATTTCACTCAGTGTAATGTCCTCCAGGTTCAACCATGTTGTGAGGTATTTCAGATTCATCCTTAGTCTTCAATGTTTTGTAGTATTCCATTGTGTGTACCAAAATGTACCAAAGTTTGTTTAATCGTTCTTCTATTGATGGGCATTTAGACTGTCTCCATCTTTTTGCTATGTCTCTTTTAGACAGCTTAGTCAAGGATCCTATTTTCTTAACCATTCTGCTCTTTATATCCCTTGACTGGTACATTTAATCCATTAACATTCAGTTTAATTATCAGTAAGTACAAATAGGTTTTGTTGTCATTTTTCTGTGTGGGTGGGGTTTTTTTTTGGGTTTTTTGGTAGTACTTTTGGATTCTTTGTTCCATATAATTCTCTGTGTTGAGTTTATTAATAGTTTATGGGTTTTCTTGTCATTTTCACTTCTGTTGTGTTAATGTTTACTAAATCTTTCCGATTTTCCTCTTTAAATTTTGATGTACAGGTATATTATTTTTCTTTGAGGTCACACTGTAATTTAGTAAGGTTTTTTCCCCCTGCTTAATACAATGTGCTTTATCTTGAAATCTCCCAAACTTCCTTGCCATTTGGAGGTTCTGTGTGTACTCTAGTCCCTCTTTTTGGTTTGTAGTTGATTTCATTATACATGGATATCTCCGGTTCCCTATTTCAAACTTATAGATTTGTTTTATTTATTTTTAATACTTCTATAGCTGGATTGGGAGTCCTGGTGTGGTGCTATGGACTAATGAGTCAGACTGCAAAGTTGTTTGAACTGTAAGGTTGGTGGTTCAAGCTCACCAGCTGCTCCTTGAAAACCCTAATACAGTGTCACCATGGGTTGGAACCGGCTTGAAGGCACTTAACAACAACATATCTGGATTAAAGTCCTGGTATGACACTGTAGGATAAGCACTTGACCACAAGGTCAGCTTGAACTGCAAGGTTGATGGTTCAAACTCAGCAACTAATTGCTCCTTGGAAACCCTATACAGGGTTGCTATGGGTCGAATCGACTCAGCAGCACTTAAAACAACATATCTGGGTTGAGTTCTGAATGATGTTGTCCTGTGTGGTAATGTGGGTTCTCAGTCCAACGCACACCCTTTAGAAATTTTTGTAAAGTTGGTCTGGTGGTTACAAATTCCTTTCATTTCTATTTATCAGGAAATGTCCTAATTTCGCTGTTGTATTTTGAGGGACAGCTTTGCTGGGTATGTGATTCTTGGTTGGCAGATTTTGTTCTTTTAGAGTTTTGCCTTCTTGCTTGCATGATTTCTGCTGAGAAATCCGAGCTTAATTTTCTTGGTTCTCCTTTATAGGTAACTTTTCATTTTTCCTGAGCTGTGTCAGCATTCTTGTATTTTGATGTTGATTTTGGAGCACTTGATTCTATTTCTTGGTGATTATCATTTAGAATCTATCCTGTTTGGGATTCATTCAACTTTCTGTATGTTTATCTTCTCATTTTTCATGATGTTAGCTAAATTTTCTTTCAACAACTCTTCAGTAGTTTTCTCTGTGCTTGTCTCTTCCTGTTCTGGAATTCCAGTCACCGGTAAAATTGTTCCTCGTCGTGATGTCCCTCATAACTCTTTGGACTTTTTCTGATTGTTTTCTAGCATACTAGTATTGAGAGATTTCTCTTCAAGATTGCCGGGGTCTGACCCCGACATAGTTGTCACGAGTTTTTGGTTCACGAGGAGGGGAGATCCAGCGGCGATAGGGATAGCGAAAGAATACACAGACAAACAGAAGAAGGGAGACAATGAGGCACCCCAAAGCCAGGGTGGATACATCACTGGTGGGCAGGCTTGGGACTACAGGCATCATGGCCTCTGCAGGCAGCGACTCACTGCTCTGCAATCTTTAATGGATGCCTTCCAACCCGTAATGCACCGCAATCTTTACTCCATGCCTTCCAACCAGTAATGCACACCTGGGGAGGCCCAGGCCTCTGTTTTATTTAGGGGAGGA